TTGGCATCACTGTGGGAAGATGAAGATAAATTAGCTAATGCTTGATGCTTTATTTTTTGCTTACCTCTTAGGAAAGCATGTGGTTATTGGTTTTGTCTATGACTTTTTTTTGTTTCTAAAATCTTTTCGTCAGAATACTAAGTTGGTATTTGGTATTAAATAATATCTGTTATTGTGAAAACATATAGGCTGGTGGAATGCTTTCTTTAGTTTCCCTTTCTTAATTTTTTTTCTGAAAAATTCCCTTCATCACTGACATTGAATTCCAGTTTAAGAAATTAGAAGGCAGAATAGAATAGAATGATAAAATAACTGACTAAAGTCATGTCAACTTGTTAGTTGAACTGCTTTGAGGGGCTACATATGAAAAAGATTTCAGAATGTGCCATTACAGGAACATTGAGGTGCCCTTCACACGTTGAATCTGGAAGTAAAGCTGGACTGGGTTTCTGAGCAAAGATGATGTGACAGGAATGTGTTTTTATTTATTTTTCTATTAAATTCACTGGTCATTGCCTGCATTGTAGGTGTGTAGTTCGCAACATTTTTTTTTTGTAGTTCTGAGTTTAGTTTTGGGACTCTTCCTTGATTTTCTGTTTCAGAAAACAGAACTAGGCCACTTTCTTCTGTTAAATGCAACAAACAAAATGTGTTGCATTTAACATAATCCAGCCAACAATTTAGCTACTTGTTCCTTGCTTTCTCCACTTTTTTTTTTTTTTTTTTTTTTTTTTTGTGGAATATCAAATCAGTTGTTGGACTGTCAGGAAAAATATCCAAGAATTCTTTTTTTCTTTTTGCTACATTTTTCCTATCCGTATTGATATTATATTGGAATTTGTGTGATGTAGTTTATAAAGAGAAACAATTTTATTAGATGATATCTGCCTCTCTTTCTTTTACAGCTTTCCAGTAAAAAAAAACCAAAAAACAATCCACTACCTGTTTTGAAGTCTGGCTTTAATTGAACTGTTCATGACAAGTAAACATATTGAGGATTTTATTTATCCCCCTTCAGTAGCTGTTCCTGCTTTGTTTGAAGTAATTGTTCTTATATATTAAATGACTTCCACTCAGGCTATGAATCTGTCTGTCAGTAGTCACAGTTTGTGTCCTGCCTGGCCCTTTAATGGTAATCTCTGATTAGTCACACTGTTCCCAGCCTTTGGAGTTTGCTAAGATCTTTTAGAGAAGAAAGAGATGTAGGAGGATTGAAGTTATCTGTAAATAATTAGACAGGTGGGCACTTCATGCCAGCTGTGAAAAAAAAGTACTCAGCAATTTAATCAAATGCCAAATATGAGCCAATATGTGCCATTGTTCTTGAACCCTGTAAGGCTAAATATGAATAATTATGCTATGGCTGTGACTAACACAGCCATAGATGGATTACACTTTATTCTGCATGGCTATTTTGCCATTAGTTTAATTTGAAAGAGAGGGTAGTGAACCAATTTTTATGGTTGCCCAGTGGCAATAAATGGTGAGTTTAATGAAAGACTAGTAGAAGTGATAGCAGTGTTAATTTTAAATTTTGTAAGAAAACAAGGAGAACAAGATAGTTGTCTAGAAAGATTTGTTGTGCTAAAAGAATATTGTATAAATCTTGTTGCTGTTGTGCATGCTTATGCAATCTCTGAAAAAAGGAATTTTTTCATCTTGTTTCAGAAATAAAGTACTCTTGGAAAAGACAGTATGATGATTATTCTATATAATTTTTAATAAATTTTAGAGACACAGATTTCCCCTTCTTAAAAGGAAGTAGGAAATATTTTGGGCTAAAAATGTGATCCCATGTAAGATGCATTTTGTGAAGAATAAGTGCGAGCTCAGAATGTGTTATGTACCCTCAAAGAGAGGTCTTAGGGAGGCACAGGATAAATAGATATGCTGAAGAAGTAGGTAGTAATGTCACCAAGGCAGATGGTAGAAGTGGAATAAATGTTCTTGAGTGAAATCAGAGCACTGTCTCCAGGTCCCTGCTGAAGAGCAGGGTGAGCTGCTGCTGCTGGAATTGCCACATGAGGCTGCAAGTCCACGTCTTTCAGGTGGGATGCATGGTAGGATTGTGCCTGTAGTTGGCTGATTCCAGAGAGAGAGGGAGAAGGATATGTCTGAGTGCAGAAGTGTGAGCTTATACATGGAGGACAAGTCTCTTCAGGTATGTTACAAGAGGCTAGCACTTGGATCTCATTTGGCATTCAGCAAGATGCTTGGAAACAAGATGTTACTGATTTTCTGATGTTAAGTTATTGTGTACTGGCTTACTTTTGAACAGTTATAAATGTATCATGAAGAATTGTTCTTGGGGGTTTTTTTGTAGGTTTTTTTGTTTTCCCCAAAAGTTTTCCAAAAAACTCCTCTATTACATGCTGGTTTCATATGGGGTAGAAATAATTTTCTGCTTAGTAGCTGGCACAGTGCTGCTGTTTGGAGTTAACAGGATACAAACTTGCATATTTAATACTGAAAGGCAAAAGAACACAATCATCTGAGTCCGCTGAGGCCATTCCCTTGTTTTTTGTGTTCAAAATAATCTTCCTTTTTTATTCTAACTTAATAGGGTGCTTGGTATTCTGTGACAAGCTGTGTGTTCTTGCTTGGGTGGATTTGACTATAATGACTCTGATAATATTTTTTCTCAAACCAGAGAAATTATATAATTATATAATTGCTACTGTGAAGTGGCTGCTAAGAGTAGCACCTTCAAACTCAGATGTTCTTCACTTCTCATACATTTCATCATGTCTGTTGATTCTGCTTGCTTCTTTTTTCTTTCTCCTATTTGTATTGTAAACGCAATGCATAAATCTTTGTCCATTCTGTCCCATTAAAGCCCATTAAAACACTTCTCTGGTGCACTGCCTTGGGCTCTCCTTTAGACTACAGCAAGGCAAGTTTCGTTTTCAGTTGTAACTACAAATGAGCGCAGAAAGCTGAATTTTAAGGTTAAAAAGTTCCAGGGTTTTCACAGGTATCTGGAATTCCATTTACAGACAAAAAAAAAAATAGGTCAGAATCTTCCTCTGATGGCAGTGACTCTCAAGAAATACACAAAGTTTTAGAACAAATTCACCTTAAAACTGCATTTTTATAGTATTTTTGTTTTCACTGTCCCTCCACTGTTTGCCTCGTGCATTAGTTGTTCATAATCGTTGGAAAACACTGAGTTACCACAGTTCAGGTGGTAATCCATCTGCCATACATCACAGAGCAAGAGGAAACCTCCCTCTAGCATATCTGTTTCCTGAACTTGTACTTCTCCCATCTGGAGAGGTGGGAAAACTAAGAGAGATTAAGATAGTTTAGGAATATCTGCCTTGGTACTTCTGAAGGATGAAGTGCAAAATTTCTCAAACTTTCCTAAGAGATGGGTGGTATCAGTTGCTGAAACTCATAGTGAGGAATCTGTAACTTGTACAGTTGGCTGCTGGGATTGCTTAATAGGAAAATGAACAAAAAAATCCACTCCAATCAATGAAGCCTTTGGCTTTTATTTAAAACCAGAATTGATTGACTGCACTATGCATTTTTATTGACTTAGTAAACTAGTACTAACCTATGAGTGCACGGGCGACCCCCGATGAAGGGGAGAGAAAATGATGCATCTGACTCCATCATCAGAAGGCTAAATAATTACTTTATTATTCTATACTATATACATTGCATCTAAACTGAATCTGCCTTGCACTCACCCTTGCTCACAACTGCACAGAACTCAATTCTCTTGTGACTGTCTCATAACAGCCCAACACACACACACTTCTTGGCCCTGATAGGCCAAGGGAACAAAACATCCTCAGTTTGGGTAAACAATCTCAATATTGCATTCTACTTTAGCACAACACAGGCACAGCAAGAGAGATAAGAATTACGTTTTCCTTCTTTGCTTGTCTCACAGCTTTTCTCTGTTCAGAGGGCATGTGAACACCACACTAACCCCTTTGGCTCAAGCAAGAATGTGAACACTGTCTCTTCCTCACTTTTCCCTGTCCATTCAACCTGTAACTGAGAGGTGAACAACCAACACCAGGTGTTTCAGCTTGGCCTCGAGCTCTTTCCCTGCAGGGGAGCTGCCAAGTTGCTCATTGAAGCCCTCATGGGGCAGCTGTGCAGGAAAGATCACATCTGCCATCAGGTAGTGAGACTTGCCTTTAAGGTTAGAGTATGGTCTAGAGCTCTGACAACACCGAGAGCTGCTGCTTTACCCCTTTGTCTGCAGTGCAGAAACAACTGGCTGGATTCTTCAAAAAGAAGTATTCTTTTATGCATCTGTATTGATATCCCTCTCAACTTTTACTGTGTCAAGAATTATTTCATAAAATGGAATCTATTTATTTTGTTTTTCGCCTTTCTTTTCTGGCCATAAGTTTACGGAGGAATTTGATTTTCTATTACAGAAGGAGCTTCCTTGAGGCTTTAACAAGTAAAGTGGAATTTCTTTAGGGAAATTTCCTTCTTCATTATGATTATGTATACTTTTGTGTGTATGTTGGTAGGTGTACAAGGCGGATGGTAACAGTTCTGCAAACTGCCATGTTTAATTTCCACATATTCATGAATTCTTCATAATCTGAAATGTCTTGAAAAATGTTAAATTGTGTGTTGAAAAGTTTGGGGGAAAACACAGAAAGCTTGCTTTGTTTGGTTCTTAAAAATATAGAATATCTGTCTTAACACAGTCTAACCCTAAAGTACTAAGGTTGTCCTTAAATTTCTGTCCAGGGCCCCCAAAGGTGATTGCACTGTGCGGGAACCTCCAAGTTACACTCCCATCACATATCTTCTTCCTGAAGTAATCAGTGTGTGTCAGGGGAGAGGAGGTAGCTGTGTGCATCTTTTGTCTCTCATTCTGGGTTCACTAGCTGCTGTCTGCTATGCAAATGGTAATACAGAAGAGAATAGAGGAAGTGGCTTTGGATTTATATACGAGTCAAAAAACAGGTGGCTTGCAGACGTTGGTAAATGTAAACATAGATATGGTTATTTCTCTGTTTTAGGAATACACTATAGATATAATTTTTGCCCAGACTTGGTATGACAGTCGTCTAAAATTTAACAGCTCAATGAAGGTGCTTATGCTTAATAGCAATATGGTTGGAAAAATCTGGATTCCAGACACTTTCTTCCGGAACTCAAGGAAATCTGATGCTCACTGGATTACAACTCCAAATCGTTTGCTTCGAATCTGGAGTGATGGAAGAGTATTGTACACTCTAAGGTGGGTTTTTATTATTTGGGTAGACAAATAATCAAAATGCTGTTATGACCAGGAATATGAAAATAATGAGTATGAATCAAATTCCTGGCATCTCCTTTGTTATGGATCATAGGAATTTTCATGGAAATGATTAAAAAAGAAAATAAAAAAGATCATTCGATCATGAAAAAGATGAAATTCATAGTATTGAAATATAATGCAGAGATAACTGCCTAAGTACAACTGAAGGTGATAGCAAATTTTGGTCTCATTTAGGTACAGGCAAGATTTAAAAAAGGGTGCTATATGGTATATAGTATCATGGTGGTCTATCACTAATATATTGCAGATCAATTATTTTTGGTCTAAAAATTCATAATCTAATTTCCACTAAATTATATTCTGTAAGTAAAATATTAAATGCTTCAAATAATAAAAATTATAAGAAGTTTGATTAAAGCAAAGGTTCCAGTCCTGCATGTACTTCTTAACATATTTACACTTGTAAGCTATTAAAATCAACAGATCTGTTCATCCAAAATAGGCATAAACAAACATGTTGGTGATAATTCTACTTGGCAAATGGGAGATGCATGTGCTGCTTTTAAGCTTAAGGCTATCTGTACTGATTTTTGAGTCACTTTTCAAACAGTTCTTGAAAGGCTGTAGTCTACAGAAAGTATTTTAGGGTCATCACTGTCATATTTTCTAAATATATCAAAAAAATCTTGTAGTAAGAACTGATCAAGAAGTAGTCTATGCAGAAGATACCATAAATATGATTTTGCTCTTATTTGTTTATTTGATTTATCTATTTAAAACAAAAAGTGGACTTTTAATTACTTTCTTCTCAATCACTTATGCTGTGTATGCTGTGTTCATATGCAGCATATGTTGTATGAACAATGTATAAATTTCTCATGTATCAAATGTCAGAAGAATTAGAATGCTTTATAAGGATTCTCTTCACTGAATTTTTTCTTAGTATGCATCATTTGAGAGCATACAGACATTTCTGAAGAGCACTTTTAAAATGGTTTATTATGCCAGTTGGTGTTTATAAGAGTCTCTAGAGATCCCCTTCTGTTGACATGCTAATTTTTTTTTTCTTTTTCTAATTAGCAATTGTAGAGTCATACTTGGACTTTACCCTTCTGGTGTCCATTCATTTTCAATAAAAAAATTCTTCTAAAGAGATGCAAAGTAGCCAAAGGAAATAAATATGAGCAAAAAAATAATTGGAGCCCTCACAGAGCAATAGGTTAAGATTACTGTGTCAGAATATGAGAAATAAAGTGCAACGAACTGGTAAGAGAACAGCAGAACAGGCTTTCACCCTGCACTGCAACACACAAACATCTGTATGGGTAAAGATCTGGCCTGAATTTAACCTAAGGTAAAACAATATTGAGAGGTTCATGTCTGGCTTATTGAAGGAACAATAATATGATCTGACAGTGCTCCAGGTTCGTGGGCTCCCCTGTATCACCACTCTTTCCTTGTTGGCAATTCAGAGGGCAGACATGGTGAAAATGTTAACCAGCCTTACTAAATCTCCTCTGAGGGTGGCCCGTGGTCTGTCCATTGCACCATCAGTGATTCCAGATATAGTTGTGATGCTTTGAACATAAGGCTCAGCTTGTTTTCTTTTTCTTTGTGTGTTTAACTATCCAAAAATTGAAAACCGAAAATAAAGGCAAAAAATGCATACATCATAGTTGACAAATTTGAAAAGCATCTCCATAGCATTCTTCTTAAAAGTGTGGGGAAGGCTTTTTCTTCTGCTCTCCCATAGTGTATGCTAAGAAATACACTTTTACTTATAAACCTTTGGTCAGATCAGAGTGGCAGTTTGTGTAGAATAAATACTTTGTCCAGACACTTACAAAGCTATCTGGCAGCATGTCTCAGAGTCTTTTCCTATCTCTTGTCTAATATGTAAGCATTGCACACAGTCAAGTGTGTGAGCATTATGGCAATTTTTGAAGTTGATTTTAGAAGACATTCTGCCTTTCTATACATTGTTGTCAATAAAGGAGGAGGTATTTTAAATGCAAAGAAGTCAGTTTGAAGTCTAGCCCCTTACTCTGGCTTACTAGCAAAGGGTAGCAGAACTGGGTTTTGCACTTACTGCTTGGAAGTCCTGTGGAAATCTGTGATAGCATTTTCAAAAGCAGAAAGTGATCTAGTTCAGACAATTATGAATACTAAACCAGTTCTAAAATGTTTCTAAGTTGTGAATTATTTGAATACCTTAGATAGACATTAAACAGGTAGAAACATAGTTTGGTTTTTCCTATCCAAATACTGTTTTCATCAGAACTGTTTCCATGGTGTAGAGCAAGTCCAATGTACCCCACAATTTTTCTCTTATGTAAAGCTACCAGATACAACGATGCCAAATGCAATTTGACTTGATAAATGGATTCTACAAAAACTTCCTTCTTGTGCTATCATAAGCTCCTCTCCTTCCCCTGTCTTGAGACCCTGATTTTTATCCCCTATTTCTTGTAGAGCTGAGAGGTGCTCCCAAATCAATTGAAATTTTGGAAATGGTTTGAAATGCCAGTTGAAACAACACAGATCCTCAGGTTGCATGCAATAATAATTCCTGTTTTGTTCTTTGGTGCTAATGCTTGATGTTGTTTTTCTGATACACAGGAGGCTATTCATAATATCTATTAATTGGCAAAATTTATTTCTGTGCATGTTCTTTAATATGTAGTAGGAAGTGTCTGAATTCTTGAATGTAACCTATTTTCTTTTTCCCCTTCTTTTTCTAATTAGGTTGACAATTAATGCTGAGTGTTACCTTCAGCTTCATAATTTTCCTATGGATGAACACTCCTGTCCTCTGGAGTTTTCAAGCTGTACGTGGTAAAATACTTTTTTGTCCTCTTTACATTCAGGCTTTAAATTTACTTAAATTTTGGCATCAGAAGAGCAAGTGTTTACTTTTTAAAGCCTTGCAGCAAAAGAAAGAACTGACCATTCATGTTTTGAGTAGACTTACTGCATTGTTTAATACATTAATGAATGAGTTGAATCGCATGTATCTTTTGCAACTTTAAAAATAGTCTTTTTGCTTAGGAGTCTAATACAGTGCCTATTCCAGTTAATGGAAATGCACTGTCCTGGAAAAACTTTGTTTTCTTATGCCTGCAAGACTTGACAACTTTGAATTAGTTCCATATGGTATACTTAAAAGGAAGAATAAGATACATCTTCTTCAACTTGCTCCTGTAAATGCTGAATCAGTAGAAGAAGTCCTTTTCCTTTCAGTGGGACTTAGTTTATATGAGCAAAACCACAATCTTCAGGCTCTATTTTTTGATGCAAACTATGTTAAAAAAAAAATTCCTAGGGAATTGTGCTATTGTAATCATAAATCATTAATGTTGGAGAAAAACTCCAGTATCAAGTCCAACCTATGACTAAACACCAACTTCTCAACTAAACCATAGCATGAAGTGCCATGTCCAGTCGTTTCTTGAGCGCCTCCAGGGATGGTGACTCCACCATCTCCTTGGGCAGCCTGTTCCTATGCTTTTCAACCTTTCAGTGAAGAAATTGTTCCTGATATCCAGCTTGAACCTGCCCTGATGCAGACACGAGGCCATGTCCTCTCACTTTGTTGCCGACTGGGGATGGGACAAGAGGCCAGCTCCTCTCTTGCTACAGCCTCCCTTCAGGTCTTCCCTAAACCATCAAATTATGTATTAAGAAGTGTACTTTTAAGCTCTTTCTGATCATTTAATGATAATGTAATGACATTTGTGTTTTAATAGTGATGATTCTGAGCCAGTTTTTATTACTGGAGTTCGAGAATGCCAGATAGATATTTTCTAAATGTTTGTATTTGTACAGTTTTTGATTGGTCTTACACTTACCTAGGCTTAAAATTGAGGCTGTTTATTTTGTGGTTGAATTTTAAGTGTAGCAGAAGGACTATAGATGGTCTCAGATCCACTTTATTTACAGACCTGGTTTAGTTTATAAATAACTTCAGAGATCAGAAAACGTGCTTTAGTATATTCTGTGGCTAAATGTTTGATTTTTTTTTTTTGTTTGTTTCATTCTAGATGGATATCCCAGAAATGAAATTGAATACAAATGGAAGAAAACCTCTGTTGAAGTGGCAGATCCAAAATACTGGAGATTGTATCAGTTTGCATTTGTGGGGCTACGAAATACAACTGAAATTTCTCATACCTTGTCTGGTAAGGCAAAGTGTTGAGTTTTATTTTGTGCAATGTCTATTTAGATCCACACAACAGATGAAGATACAACCGAAAACCATATTAGATGTCATATAAATACTTCTTACTCTTTTTTTTTTAATTTTAGGTGATTATATTATTATGACAATATTCTTTGATCTCAGCAGACGTATGGGATATTTTACTATTCAGACATACATTCCTTGTATACTCACAGTTGTTCTTTCGTGGGTGTCATTTTGGATCAATAAGGATGCAGTTCCTGCAAGGACTTCTCTGGGTAAGAATGTCTTTTTTCAGCCTTGGAGGATCTGGTAGTCCCAAAGAAAACAAATGTGCATCAGGGATTGTGACTGTTGGTCATTCTCTCTTTTGAACTGACACATTGGGAGTAGGAGAATCCTGCTGTAGTTGCATGGCAGAGTTTAAGGAAGCAAAGCTGAGCATGGAAGTCCTGATCCAAGTTTGTTGGTCTGCTGTTGTTCACATAAATATGTTTTTTCTTCTTTATGTTTTTTTTTTTTTTTTATCATCGCCAGGGATAGTCATGTGGCAATTATTAGTCTGACACTTAGCGTCGTGGAACAAATGAAGTCATTACTATGTGACCAAAAATGGTGAAAATCTGGTTTAGTTTTTTTGTTGCATTTTTTGTGGTTTTGGCATTGGTTTTTTGGTCGGTTTGTGTTTGTTTGTTTGTGTTTGGTGGGTTTGTTTGGCTTTTTTTTTAGTAGAATGATTCAATTATTCTTTTAGACCCAGGATAGGACAGATAATTTGCAACTAAAGTTGCACTTCAAGAAGTTAAGCCTATAATTCACAAAAACTCCTGCTTTTACTAAAGACTGTTCTGAAGTGTGTTGCAAGTTCTAATACAAAGATAATTCTGTGCTAGTGTCATCTTGGTTGACCTGTTTAGCATGGTGTCAGTCTGCTAAGTTTGACTGTTCAGAATTCCTGTGCTGCCTTGGAGGAAAGTTGTAGTCCCCAGGTAAAGCCTGATAAACGGGTACACGGGGTGCACAGGACACAGCTTTGAGCTTAGCAGGGAGAGATACTTATAGGAGAACTAGTGACAGCAGTCTAACCTGTTTTTGGGGAAAGGTCAAGAGCTGAGAGTTGTGTCTTAGGAAGTTAGAGATGTGAGTTAATTTTCCTCATCAGCTGTATTGCTGTGAACACACCATTCCCACCCTACAAGATCATTTGCTACCAGAAGCATGAGCCACACTTTAACTCCCTGCCTTTCTCATTGAAACTGGACCACCAGCAAGCTGCAGGATTAATGAGTCAAGAGAGAAAGTAAGCAAGAACAAGCATGGCTCAGTAGCCTAATGGAAAGGTAAGGGAAGAAAATCTCAGTTTGCACCCTAACTTTCTGTTATTTGAAAGTGCTGCAAAATTTGGTGGAGTCTAAGGTCTCAAATAAATAAGTGAAAATTACTTTTGATAATTTTAGACCTTGATGTAGAAATTTAATCAGATTTCTTTGACTCATTGAACATCATTGTGGACTCTGACTAGTTTCAATACAATAGTTATAACAGAAAAAAAGTGTTCTATTGGTATCTTTCTAGTTCTGTATCCAGTTTTTTCTTTTTACAAAGTGCTTTTTATATGCCATGAACCTAAAAATCTGTCTTTGATGTCATGGTTAAGCTGAAGTTTTCAAGCTCTCACTTCAGCTGTACTAGCCTTCATCTACTCACGATGGAATAAAACTTTTGTAATATCTTATTTACAGCTCCCTGCAGGTAACTCTGAACTCCTTTCTTGTAAACATGCAAAAGCCATCACTTGACAGCTTGTAGGATGACTTTTCTTACATGCAAATATTCTGGAGGAGGAGAAAGAGAGTACCTGTCAAATAGACACAATTTTATGGAAAGAGAAATTAATACAAGAAGGCCAAAACTAAGCAAGGTTTGTGAGGACAGGTAGCTGTTTTGCTGTTGAAGGTTTGCTCCCTGTGACAGCCCCCTAATGCCTTTAACGTAGCAGACAAGGCTGGAAAAATTTGTGTCTCTTTTTGTACTCTCTGAACGGAAGTCAGTACAGGGAATGGTGGGTGCCACTTCCCACCTGGAGGGTGTGCTGGGGTCTGGTACCCTGAAAAGGTTGGACCTTTTTCTCTCATATCTGTTGGAAGATTCTGGAAGATTGTGGTTTCCCAGAGAAAAAGATTTGAGGAGATTACAGATATTTAAATCTTTGGTTATCCAGAGGAATGCCAAATCAGTTTTCAAAAGTATCTGGCGGGACTGAAGCACTTTTGAAGAACACTTTGGTTATCTGTTTGCCCCTTTAGGCATGTAATTTCGTTGGGAAATCTGTTGGGAAAACTCTGCTGCCTTCCTGCTGCAGGAACAGTCCATAATGACCAGTGATTCCATGCTTTCATTTGTGAGCCATAGACAGTTTTAGCGTGGTGTAATGCTTTTTGTTTGTTTATTTGTTTTGGTTTGGTTGTTTTTGTTTTAGTTTTTAATAAGCTTGTGCATGTAAATAACAAATTGTTTGTGTGTTCAAGTATTGCTTTTCAAAGGAAAGGTCACACTTAATTTTGGACTACTATGTAAATGGATTTGCATCACCCTGAAGCATCAAATAGAAGAAGAAAGTGTTAAAACCTTGTAAATGCTAAACTAATGAAGAGTGGTATAGGTGAGATTTTGAACACATAGCTATTAAGGCCAATTTGTTCTTTTAATTAGCTTGTATGTAAGTGAATCAAGGGAAACATTTTCTATCACTTAAGACACAGTGTTGAAAGCATATCTGATAACTTAGACAATGAGACCAGAAAGCTGTGAATGCCATCAAATTTGATCTTCTATGTCTTCTTCAGAAGCAGACAATTGGAAACATTATTCATTTTTCTTTTGTTTACCAAAAGCTTGAAATCATTGATAAATAATACTCCTTTTATTTCTGAATGCATCATTTTTAGCATGTTAATCGTTTGAGCTAAGGGACTTCCTTGTGCTTGTAAAATTTGTGTGCTTATTTGTACCCATTTTTCTACTGTATTTATGTGTACATTTCACGTCAGATTTATAAAACTTCACAAACTTAATGTCATTGTTTGTTCAGTGTGTGTTGAAAATAGGAGGGATTTAAAGGGAAGGGGAAATGTGCTGCTTTCTCTATGGTCCCATGGAGGATGCTGCATCCATAGGGATGGATTCTTGCCATAGCACCAATGTACGTGAACATAATCAGTGATGAACCTGCTGACCCCTCCTGTGGGTCAGTCCTTATATGACTCAACAATTAATTAAGAGCTAATATGATTACTTTTTTTTTTTGGTGACAATATGATTTATCACCTATACATTTCCCTCTTTCTGTCTTTCTTTCTTTCTTTCTTTCTTTCTTTCTTTACAGGGATCACAACAGTGCTGACTATGACAACGCTGAGTACAATTGCTAGGAAGTCACTCCCAAAGGTTTCCTATGTGACAGCAATGGACCTTTTTGTTTCAGTTTGCTTTATTTTTGTGTTTGCTGCCTTGATGGAATATGGCACCTTACATTACTTTACCAGCAACAGAAAAGGAGTCAAAGGAAAAGAAAAGAAGGCAAAATCTAAGCCATCAGTAAGTTTAGTCAAACAAGAAAAAAAATATACAGAGTGGTTTTTATTGTAGCATTCATTTTGAATGAATGCTCCTTAAGTCTAAAAGCTAATGTTCAAAGATAATGAACACTAAATTTTTTTTTTTTTTTTTTTTTTTTTTTTTTTTTGCAGTTGGGTGCTTGTACTAATTTTATGTAAATACAACTAGTGAGCAAAGGGTTTAGATGATTTCACAGATGTGAATGAGGACACATGAGCCTAAGGTGGTTTGATATACTATTCCATACCCTTGGTGCTTCTAGAACTGCCCATGAAGTGTGTACCCACAGATATGGTTCTGTAAGGCACAGTGCTTCTGAAAACAGCACCTGGCAGACAACAGCTAAAAGTGTAGCAGTAAAGATAATGTGCATGGACTGAAGGTATGAGGATTTCTTTGGATCCGCATCACCTAAGTCTTGCAAAGTTTTGAAAAGGAAGTAAATGCTTATTACTGGCCAGTATTCTGAATCCCACTACAGAAATTCTATCTTAACTCTTTTCTAAATTGGCTTCCGTGTTTCTTTCTGGTTAAATTAACCTTCTGCTTTTACAAGTTGATGTTTCTATTGTAAACCTCCACATATCTCAGGATCAAGTATTATTCAATTTTAAGAGTCTTTCTGTTTGTGTAGTAAGAATACTGTTTTGTCCAAAACATTTATTGTTGGAAGTCAGTACAAATGTTTAAAGGTAGTCTTTAAAGTAAGAAAACATTGGAGAAAATAAGAGAAAGGAAAATGTTATAAAGCCCCTTTCCAAATCTCATCAAAAGATGCAGGAGCATACCTGAACCATAATACCAGTTGCCTTTTCTGGATGAAGGCTGAATACCAGCTCTGTATGAGGTGAAACAGAAATTGATATTTATAAGTGTTAATACTTCCCTGTGCTGCCTTGGTCAGGCATCACTCTGATCCTCAGGGAATCCAGCACAGTCAGGAAAACTGGAAAATGGAAGCCTCAAATCTGCTTCCTGGTAGTGGTAGAAACACATGTGGGAACAACAGAAGGAGCAGAACACAGGCTTTGGCAAGGGCATAGCTGAGTTATGAGGGTAAAAGGTAACAGAGGATGTGGGGGCATCCCAGTGTTAGCACAGCAGATTCAATTTCAGGTTGCTGCTGCAATGAGGTCTCAACAACGCTTGGTGAGTGGGGAGATGAGTAGATCTGCTCTTGGCATGCACACTGAAGAGTAGGTGAAGATATCAGGATGTACTGCTGTATTCAAACCAGTTATTAAAGATCAGCTGCTGACAAATCAAAAGACACTGAAGCAGTTTGCAAGTATGTTCTATTGAATGAAATAATGCCACTCTGCAGAATCTGTTCACACATCACCCATGTGTGCAATAATCTGCCAAGTGCTTTGAGATTTTTAGGGCATATGAAAATTTTAAATGCAGAATAATGATAAGATAGAAACTATGAACTTACTGAATAAATAGCTGGAATTTGCACTAAAATTAAAATTAGCATTATTAAAATATAATGCTAAAATGCTGTTCAATCGTGTTTTACTGGGTTCTTAAATGATGCTTTTTCTTTCTAAGAAGTTGAAAAAATAAATCATTTTGAACAGAATTTTTTAAACATGTTACGGCTATAAGACCTTATAAAATAAAGAGATTACACAAAGAAAGGGAGAATTAAATTTAATATATGTAGATGCATGGATTCTAATTTGGTAAAAGTTTTTCTGATGTTTTATAAAAAGCTGTGACTTTTCTTGCTCCAAATAAATAAAGAAGGCATCTAATTAGTTAATGGGAAGTCATACCATTACAAATCCTTTTCTTTTTATTCTTTTTTTTTACCTTTTATTTTTCCCCCTTTATTTTTGTCAGAGACTTCTATTAATTCTTTTTGTCTTGTGGTTACAGATATGTAACTCAAAAAACCAATTTAATTTTTAAAGTCAGTTTAATTACTTCTGAAAACTCATTTACAAGTGATTTTTTCCTTGGGAAACTTGCTTTGCATAGATCTTCTATTTCTACTGCAAAATGCTATAAATGGTTACTATTCCAGGAACTGATGCCAATAAGCCACAATAAATGATCTTGTGAAAATGGCGAGATTTTGCAAATGATTACAGCAGTTTTATCTTAGAAAATATGTGCTGGCATCATTCAAGAAAGATAGTATGAATTGGCTTATACAAATCCACATTAGTAAGGATAATGAGTTTGGGCAGGAAAGATTTAACTTAATTAGTTGTGGATCTTGTTCTGATCATCATTTCACCTGAAATAAATGTATTACCTCTCCCATGATCTCCACAGACAATGGCTTCCTTTTGTACTTGTATTAGTGTTATTGCAGAATAATTGGGGTTTGATCTTATCAGACTGTATTATAAATGATATCACAATACATGCTGTTTTATCTACAGTTTCAGTAGGCTTATCCATAAAAAATCAGCATGTACTTCTATATCTACATGTTGTGGGTGTTTTGTTGTTTTGTTTTTTTGGTTTTGTTTTTTTTTTTTCAGTTTCTTCCAATTTATATAAAGGCATTTTCTTGTTAGCTGTTGGTCTTTTTTTCTCTTTTCCCTCTCATTGCCTCTTACACACATTTTATGTACTTCCTGTAGGTAGTTAAGCCTACAGCATGACTGTGTCTGCAGTCAAGCCACCTCTTCAAACATGTAATTCAGTAGCCACCTCCAGTCTTTGCTGGTGTTGAGAACAGTGGAAAGCAGTACTGTTATTTTTTCCTTCTCCCATCATGTTTCTGTGTTGAGGATTCCTGTTTTACCCCACTAGTAGAAACAATTCATCCCATAAATTTTACATGGGCAAAACCAACATTGAGCAGAGCATACTAGGTGTGAATCAGAAATAGGCATCTTTCCCTGTTTATCTTCAGCAGAATAAAGACTTTTTCTTAATTTCAAAAATAAATTGAACCTATTTTTAGTGTTTTATAAAAATAACCTCTCTTTGCAATGCCTCAAATTAGGACAGAAGCATGTAACTCCTGTTTCTTAGTATTGTCAGTATTTTATCATAACTGAAAAGAATAATGAGGTCCTTTAGGATGATAATTAGCTCCCTAGGTCAGCATGTATAATCAGTTTTGAAACAGCAGTCTATGTGAAACTTTCTCTAGTAGAGACACTTATTAAATAAAGCTATTTGAAAACATGGTGGATACTGCACTGCATTAACACCATCCCTTGGGATATTGGGTAGGATGCCCCTGAAGCAAAAGAATGTCACCTTAACAATATATAGAGGTCTGTGTACTGGCCAAAGTACTTCACAGGAAGTGGGACAACAGGACTTTAAAGGATTACAAGAAGCTAAATGAAGACTTCCCACTTTCCATATTTTTTTCATGTTCTTTCATTGTCTGTGATGTATAATTGGTTAATAATATCCTGTTATATTTTCTCACTGCTTCCTTTCCTGCTGTTTTATGTCCTTACATGACAAAATATGAAGAATGTGGAAAAGAGAGAACACAATATAAGAGCAGTGTTAATGTAACCCTTCTCTTTGGTCTGAAGATTTTAGAAGCGATGCCAAATGTGGGGTCGGGTGGGGTAAGTTGAAGGAGGATTATGGAATAGTTTAAAACAGCCATGAGATTTAGAAAGAGAAGATAAAGGACAGATAAAGAGAATATATTTTGAAACAATCAGGAAAACAAGGATGATGCATATAAAACTGTGGAGAAATGAAATAAAAGGGGAAAAGGTGGGCTGTGTTAGTATAAGTCAAAGGAGGGTGGAAATGCAAAAGTCACAAGTAAGGGAATAGCAAACAGTATATGTACTAGGCAATATTCCACCCAGATTTTTTCGATGAGAGTTATAACGTATTACACTGAGTTTTTATCAGATACAAGAAGATTGTTATGACCACAGAAAGTAAAAGTAAGAATTAAGAACTTAATTAATCGGTGACTTGAGTGGCATTCTCCTAAGGAGTCATGTCTTGGATTCTAAAGGGGGGCTGTATTGTTTAGGGATTTAACATTTCAGGGTTAGATGGCATAGCCTGGTCTTACCTGTCTCAGTCTGTTAAACTTCCCCAGTGATGCTGTGTTAAACCCATTCGCTTTTTTATTTTTGTGAAAATGTAGCTTCCAGAAACACATCTAGTCTCCTAAGGACTCCAAAAGATGGGAGGACCATCATTCCTTTTTTAGTGGTGATTGTAGCCTGCTTGTGGACTTGATTGTGACCCAGCTGTCAAGAAGTGACTGACTTCAAAATGTTTGTCTGTGTTGTGTAGATGGGATCACCTAACCCTGTCTGTGTAACTAATTATCTACTATTCCCAAATCCCAGCACAACCCAGTTTTCACTGTGGCAGGTGAAAGTAGTTCATGATCTTTTGCCTGCATGTGCTAATTACATATAGCAGTTCATAATTTTCGAAACTCCCCAAACTGTTTTCTTTAACATAAGAATTTCTGTATATTGTACTGAAGGTGGTTATGTTGCCAGGGAAAGCCTATGGAATTATTTAATGTGAGGATAAAAGCACACAAAACTATATTTCCTTTTTTTTTTTTTTTTTTTTCTTAAGAAACCACCTGCAATTGCTGTTCGACCTGGATCAACACTAATTCCAATGAATAACATTAATCATCTCCCTGAACGTGATGATGATTATGGATATGAGTGCCTAGAAGGAAAAGACTGTGCTAGTTTCTTTTGTTGTTTTGAAGACTGCCGCACAGGATCTTGGCGAGAAGGAAGAATACACATCCGTATAGCAAAAATTGACTCCTATTCTCGAATCTTCTTTCCAACTGCCTTTGCATTGTTCAACCTTGTTTACTGGATTGGCTATCTTTATCTGTAAATTTCAGAGGTTTGACAAACTCAGAAAAAATATTAATTGAATAGTCATTAATACTTTTAACTGAGCAAAGATTACAGCTGGTCCAAAATGACTCAAATTGTTTGTATGCTTTAAAAATTTGAAACAATGAGAGGAAATATGATGATGTAGTCTCCCTCTTGTGATCAGCTGTAGAACTGATACTGGTATTTTGAAGAGAACATTTTAAAATAAATATCCCTGAGATTTATCTTTCCTGAACGCACATACATACATTTTTTCCAGCTCTAAGAAAATGCAGAATCACAGGCTATGCTATTTAACTGAACCAACCTACATAAGCTCTCAATTTTAATCCTAAATGACAATGCAGAAGGATTTTGTAGCATCTCTTACACCTTTGCAAAGAAAGCCTTAATTAAATGGGATTAGTTACTCTCATCCATTTCATCCATAAGGTGATGATTTTATTAATCACTAGTTTTAAAAAGTTGAAATGTAACATTTCTCTTTTCAGTCAGCCATTTGTTCTATCCAGTATGTTAAAAAGTGTGATTAGATGATAATTAATCTATTCAGATTTATACAAAATACAGATATAAGAGCAGCTAGGAATGAATGCATCAAAACACCCAAGGATAATTCTGAGCTTGTCTTATCCTGACCATGGATAGAGACTTTTGGCTTTCAACCTTAGTTTACGTTTTTATCTGTGCTCCATTTCCTGTTCCTGTTTCCTGCTCATTGTCATGAGTTCCCCAAAATTGTCCAAGAGGTCTACAACTTTCAGAAATGCTTATCCAGCTGCCATTGCCTGCTCAGTTCATGGAAAGCAGACTGGTGTTGGCCCAGATTGTGGCCATTAAGCATAATGCTCTTCACATACTCAGTGTTGGAGAAAAAGTTATAACCCTACATTTGGAAGAATTTGTATCAGCAGAATTTGGAAGGCCTGTAATAGTGCTGTGGTCTTTGTACTCAAAGTCACTGTGTTAAATCCCCAGTGCTAAGAGTGCAGTGTGGGATCTGGTCCCCTTTGCACACAGTGTGGTTTTGTAGATCCGGTTTGTTACTGCACATGCCACTCACTGAGCCAAAGCCAAATGGTATTAATGTATGGAATGTGTGGTATGGATTGATGGGTAATTCCCTTCTTGACATTTGTTTGCTTCTAACGGAAAAGATGTGTTATGGAGGGGGGGTTAAAATAATCCTTATGCATTGCTGAACCTTCTCCCAAGATGGGATACATCCCCCCAGAATCATAGGACCAGTTGTCCATCCTTTCTGCAGTAAGAGCTTTGGTAGAAATCCTTTAGGAGTAGTTTTTCTGTGCTGACCCCTTGGTGTTGACTGTTGCTGCCAGAAGCATTTGGTATCTAATTTCTATTTCTAAATCCATTGTCTTCATTATGGAAAACTGCAGTCTTTCCTCCTTTCTTAAAGACAAATTGGTCTCAAGTGAGCTTGCAAAAATCACTGTAAAATTAAGATATGCATTAAGTAAAAGTCAGCATTACACAGAAGACCTTACAGATCTTTAAAGAGGATTAATGGGATTAGTATTTGGCTGTAGGTAAGGATGTTCAGTACCAAAGATATAGACATGATTAATAGCTAAGAATAGAAAATTTTACATTAAGAGCTCCCCTCTTCCCCCAATATTTTTGTTGAATATGCTCCCTCCTCTGAATTTCTCAGAAAGGATTACTGTATTTATAGTCTAGTTGGTACCAGGCATAGCTAGATATGATATACAATACACATTTCAGAGGAAATGTTATTCCAGTGTTGAGTCCCAAAGTTTAATAGAGAGTATGAGGTTATGTGCAGTTGTTATGGAAGGTGAGAGATGTGACAAAAGATCCAATTTTAATGAAAACTTTTTTTCAGTATTTAGGTGATGAATTATAGGAGTGGTTGAGAGAATCTGAAAGCCCTGATGATGAGATTGCCTGGCATTATTTGTGGTATGACCTTTCTGAGTACCAGCTCTTCTGACTGTTGGACTGAGTGTAGAAGTACGGTATCATTAACAACACTGATCTGTTATAATTTATTGGTTTTTTAGAGTCTCATTTTCATAAAATGTTCAGTCCAAAAGAAACATGTCAGTTTTTATTCCATAATGTAGGTTGATGCTTTTTGACAGCATGCTGAACACTTTCCTCTGTAGGAGGGATGAAGGTGGCTTCAGCAGTATGTTGGATGTGTGCTTGAAAAGCAGTCAGCTTGCTATACAATGCAAGGCCTAGATTCAGTGAGTTCCTGAGGTTCATTAATTCACCTTTAAACAAAGGAAACTTAAAGGAACTTGGCACTGCACAAGAGGAAATACAAATTTTGCAGCCGGCTCTGCTCTGGCTCATCTAGTTAGCTTTTTCTATTCATGTGGTTGTCAGTTGCCAGTCAGCCTCCAGTGACTGAATTGGAGAACTGAAAACATTCAGAATTGGCAAGGGATGGATAAGAAGTCTTTCATCTCTAATTTCTGTGGAACAGTGTAATGGAGTATTAAACCTATTGAGTGTTATGGCTGTTTGGCTTTTGGATACACTTGCTTCTGTCTGTTGACAAACTTTTCTGTGTACTTCATTTGTTTCTGCTGAAATAATTTTAGTTTCTCATAGTACTGTGAGTACAAATAGGAATGAGAATGTAGTGAACTGTAACATGGCATGTAATAAATTTGTTATTTTAGTCCTATCCATTTTCTTTCTAATCTGCATGTAAACATTTGATTCCAAGAATCAAATGATTCCAAGAATCAAATGATCCCAAGAATCAAATAAAAGTATCTAAGTGATACTTTTAAAAAACGGCAAGAAACAAACAGTATAATTAATTGGAGTTAGATCTGCAATAATTTTTCAAACTTAACTGGATAAAAAGTTTGTTTACTCTTACCTGAGATCATATTTTTTGGGAGTCATATTATTCTGACCATCACTTCATAAGCACACACTTAAACATATTCCTAATTAGTATTGTTATTAGACCAGAATTCAGAAAAGAGATTTCTTCTGTACTATCATAAAGAGTGATGCTATCATGAATTGATGCCATTAACACATGCTTAATTTGCACTGATTTCAATAATGAGTGTTCAGTAGCTCAAATAATTGAATATTAAGGATGTGAACCAGAGCGTTTTCAGTAAAAGATTTTCTCATAGAAAGGGAGGGACATAAGAGGAGAAATTGCTGTAAAGGCAGAGAGGGGGAAAAATCTGGGAAAACTGTTTTATACTGCACCTATCTTTGGCATATCTTGAAATGTATTTTTCAAAAAAAGAGACTTTTCCTTGGTATTTCTGTATTAGTGTTTACCAGTTGTCTGTTTTAATAGTGAGTACAGATCAGTGTGTTATTTTTTGGTAAGGTTCTGTCTATGATTGTACCTCACTGAACTTTAGTGCATGTCTTTTGCGTCTGAATAAATCTGTTTTATGTAGTGACAGTGCAACCAAAGCATGAACTCTGGGTAACGTATTTTGTATTCACATGTTGATATGCTTCAAAGACTTTAACCTTATCCAGTTTTCTGGCATTCAGAGATATAGGATTGTGTTAGACTTTGAAGGAGAATCACCTCCAACAGTATTTTTATAACTTTCTGTTCTTTATTTGGTATGGTAGTAAAACATTTGTTTAAAATTGATATATGAACTGTGCTTTGTAATTTGTGAACACCTTACAATCAAAAGAGAACAGGAGGAGTCTGGATTTAAATGTCTATCTGCCTGAAGTAAGATATGTTTAATTTGATTGTATCACTCATAATTTTTATCTGCTGTTTCAAAATAGATGAGAACTAGTGCAAATACATTTTTCTGTTACTATAATTATTTTTGTAGAATCCAGTGTAGTTTCAGTTATACCTTAAATGTCATCTTTCATGTTTATGAAATGATACTGTATTTTTTAGTCATTATAATAGATACAGAAGATAGAAACTAATGTACAATTCCACAGCTGAAAAATACAAAGCCAGGATTCATAATTACTGTACTTCTGTTCCTAAAAAAGCTCAGTGGATGTCCACATGCCTCATGAATGTGCTGGAGGGAGAGACTGACTCACAGGGAGTGGTAGAATAGTCTCCAGACTGTAGAAAAGGCCTTTGCATTGGTTCATGCCATGAATTTTCTACAAAAGCTTTTGAATGGAGGAAAGGAATAGATCTGTCCTCTTTTTTTCAGAGATCTCTTATTTCTGCTTCATTTCAGTCACCAAAAGCAGTTCTAATGCTCTGTTTGTTGCCAGATGAAACAAAACCTGAATAAATATCTTTATTTTACTCTTAGTTGGTTAATATTTCACACAGATGGGTGGGATCATCTGACTGAACACACAAGATTATGACCAAGTTTTTCTCCAAGGCGGGTGGTGGGAGCTTGCAGCTGGAGGATGAAGGATGGCTTGTTGTGATGGGCATTTTTCATTCAGTTGAGAATCTGCACTGAAAACTGGTGGGAGGAAAGGAAACAATGGTATGAGGGAAAGATTGATGGTGGCAGTGGTCCCAGAATCAAGTTACATGGATCTGAGCGACTTATTTTTAGTTCATAGGTTTCTCACTTGTATTTGTGATAATGCCCTTGATTTCTCTGCAACATAATGAAATATGTCTAATGTTTTAAATAAAAAGGAAAATATTTTGTATTTCCTATACATTAACTACAGACTGAACAAGCAATAGAAAGTTATCTTGAATGAACATTTTGGTGAAATGTTGAACAGAAAACAGAGATCAGGTTAAATGAGAAAAATATTTTTTTAAATCTCCTTTTATTATTAGAGATAAAACCAGTTTTAAAATTACTGAGTACTAATTACTGCAGTACTAATTAGTGCAGTAGGCACTGGGAAAGACCTCGTATCCAGTCTAAACTGCTTTTAGTCCCCTCGAGGGCTAAAATATTTGGGAATAGAAACCTGACTCAGACTGCACTCAGTTATCATCCTCTGTTTCCATCAGGAAGTGAGAAAGATGAATTGTGATTATGCCAGACATGAACT